CCCATCCCAAGCACTGCGGTGCAGGGGGAAGGCAGGATATAAATGCAAATAAATAAATAATAAATGCTTCTCCTACTGGGGAGTGGGGGGACCGAGAACAAGATATTGACAGAGAACGAGGCCGCAGACAAATCCCTTCAGTCCATTTCCTCGTGTTGTTCAGTGCACTTGACTTTGATAGGAAGTGGGCTGTGCCGAACAAGTGCATCCAGCCTTCCCATAATCTATGCTTCGACTCATACTGGTCTGTCTCCCAGAATCACCAGGGGGGGTGCCGACTGAATCGATGACCTAGGAAAAGTCCGTTCACTGTTCATTAACTGTCATTTCCACGTCACTGATTTCAGCTTCCTCTTGCGAGACCTACGAATATCCCCAGCACGGCAAGAGCAGCAGTGTCCAGTCAACGGAGTCCGTGAATGTCAGGGTCGGCTCGTACTTGGTAAGTCTGTGGAGCTTGAGGAAACGGTCCCACTATCTTGAGAAGAGATCTGAAGAAAAAGAAGAAGAGGAGGAGGAGGAGATTGGATTTATACCCTGCCCTTCACTCAGAGTCTCAGAGCATCTTATAATCTCCCTTTCCCTTCCCCTCCCCACAACAGACACCCTGTGAGGCGGGTGGGGCTGAGAGAGCTCTGACAGAAACGGCTCTTTTTTCAAGGACAGCTCTGACAGAACTATGGCTTGCCCAAGGTCATCCAGCAGGTGCAAGTGGAGGAGTGGGGGAATCGAACCCGGTTCTCCCAGATTAGAGTCCGCGCACTTAACCGCTACACCAAACTGGAGAGAGAGAGAGAGAAGCCTAATCTAAGGAGAACCTTCCCTATTACAAATGGACATCTTGTCCGACATCACGTGTGTGGGAGGATGAGGGCACTGTATCGACAGGAGAGACCTGCAGACAAGCCACCTCTATCCATCTCTTGTTCTGCAAACCCCAGCTGTTACTCCATGGCACTCTCAACCACTAGTGCCTCAGCAGGCCCTGCCCTGTGCACACAGCATCAAGCTTCTATCCAAAACCCTAAGGACTAGAAACCAGCCTCCAGTTCTGGAGATCCCACTTGCCTCAGGCACCAAGTGTGGGTTCTTTGTGACCTCCTCACCAGCCCCTGTTATGAGTTGATTTTTCTCCCAGGAGGCTGTCCCCCACACCAGCCCTCTCACCAGTTGCCAGGCACTGCCTACATGGAAGCTTACTGTGATGCTCTGTCTTCTTGGTTCTTTGGGGGACAAGAGTGGGAGGGCTTCTGGAGTTCTGGCCCCACGAGTAGACCTCCTGATGGCACCTGGGCTTTGGCCATTGCATGACACAGAGTGTTGGACCGGACGGGCCACTGGCCTGATCCAACATGGCTTCTCTTATGTTCTTATGTATGAGGCAGTGATGCTCTGTCTTCGTGGTGCTTGGGGGAAGCAACAGTGTTCTCTTCTTGGGGGAGCTTCTGGAGCTCTGGCCCCACTGGTGGACCTCCTGATGACACCTGGGTTTGGGCCACTGTGTGACACAGAGTGTTGGACTGGATTGGCCACTGGGCTGATCCAACATGGCTTCTCTTATTTTTTTTTGGGATGCTCTGTATTCTTGGTGCTTGGGGGGCAACAGTGGGAGGGCTTCTGGAGTTCTGGTCCCACTGGTGGACCTCCTGATGACACCTGGGTTTGGGCCACTGTGTGACACAGAGTGTTGGACTGGATTGGCCACTGGGCTGATCCAACATGGCTTCTCTTATGTTCTTATGTCTGGGACAGTGATGCTCTGTAGACTTCTTGGTGCTTTGGGGAGCAACAGTGTTCTGTTCTTGGGGGAGCGTCTGGAGTTCTGGCCCCACTGGTGGACCTCCTGATGACACCTGGGTTTTGGCCACTGCATGACACAGAGTGTTGGACTGGATTGGCCATTGGCCTGATCCAACATGACTTCTCTTACGTTCTTATGATTTAAATGTTTCATTTTCTCGTCCCTTCCCAGCAAAATAAAGCCACGGTGGCTCGCTCCCACAGTGCCGACTCCGAAGACAACTACGTGCACATGAACCCTGGCTCCTCTGTCCTACTGAACACAGAGAGATCCAACGACAACTCCTACATCCCCATGAGCCCCGGGCCGCATCACCTTGACCTCATGGCGCTGTCCTCGTCCACCTTCCCGGTTCACAAAGGGAGCGCCAGTTCCCAGCCTCTCAGGCGGATGAGCGAGATCCAGCCCCCACCGGTCAACCGCAACCTCAAACCTGACCGCAAAGGTAAGGCCCGATCAGCCTTCCACCCACTCCCATCCACTCTGCAACCACCTGTCCTCCCATCCAGATTACGCAGAAGGGGTCCACGTACAGGAAGTTATGACCATAGAATTCCTGACAATTTCTAGAGCTACCCGGAAGTAACAGGGGTGGCTCTAGGAACTGCTAGAAACTCTGTGGTAAGTTTACTCTGTTATGCCCTTGGCCTTTATCAGACTTTATTGATACAATAAAGGAGAGCCAGTTTGGTGTAGTGGTTAGGAGCATGGACTCTGGTCTGGGAGAACCGGGTTTGATTCCCCACTCCTCCACATGCAGCTGCTGGTGTGACCTTGGGTCAGTCACAACTTCTTTCGGAGCTGTTCTCTCAAGAGCAGTCCTTGAATGAGCTCTCTCAGCCCCACCTACCTCACAGGGTGTCTGTTGTGGGGAGGGGAAGGGAATGGAGACTGTAAGCCGCTCTGAGACTCCTTCGGGTAGTGAAGTAAATCCAATCTCCTCCTCCTCCTCCTCCTCTTCTTCTTCCATATTTTGTTCGGTGGATTCTATTAACTGCAGGGTGTGGTTGTTCCCTTTTTGCTCGCACGTGCAGAAGCTTCATGGGTCTCCTGTTAGCATGGGAAGCGATTGGTTTGGTCTTCAGAAATGGTTTGGTCTTTAGAAAACGCCTGCCATGCAGGCAGCAGACCTGAGCTGAAGCTTCTGCCAGACACGGGGCTGCCTCTGAAAACGGCAGTCCCGCGTCTCACGCTTCCCTTCTCCCTGGTAGCATCTGTTAACGACAGATGCCTTGTGGAATGAGCACGCCCAGCCTTCTTAAGCAGCTGCTGATCAGTTGAAAAGGGAAGTTGGGGAAACCTGGATATTCCATGATTTTATTTATTTATTTATTTATTATTTGTTTGTTAGACTTATATCCCGCCCTTCCACTGTGGGCTCAGGGCTGGTAACAAGAGGCAATGCCATACAAACAGTAAAATCAGTAAAACCATCAAGTTACATATAAAATCAGTGCTCCCATAGTACATCCAAGGCAGGGGCTCTGATACAACGTTCCAGGGGGTACTGCTGTCTCATTCTTAATCGGTCTTCCCATGTCGGTTCTCCGTTCCCAGGCCAGTTCGTGTTGCCAATGGCAACGCGGCGGTGGTATAGTGACAGTGGCCGCTCCTACTCAGAAGCCTGGCGGAAGAGCTCCGTCTTGCAGGCCTTGCGGAACTGCATCAGGTCCCGCAGGTCATACATTTCGCACCGGGATGCGTTGCAGGGAGAGGAGAGGAGGGGACGCTGGGCTGCCGAACTGATCGGCAGAGACCTGCCTGTTCGAATGCCGACTTGTAATCTCAAACAAGAGCGACAATCCGTGTTTATTATAATCAGGGTTGCCAATCTCTGGGTGGGATGCGAAATACAAGGGAACGCAGTGTATAGTTCAAGTCTGACAAAATCTACCGTGCCAAATGAACTTCTGACGATTACAACGGTACTTATCAACCATTAGATTTTTCTAATACATTTTACCATGACAAAACACTTATATATATATATTTACAAGGTTCTAATGTAGGAGCTGCGGTGGCTCAGGTGGTTAAGGCGCTGAACTGCAGGCTGTGGAAGGTCGGTAGTTCAGCAGTTCGAGACCCGAGTGTGCCGCATGACGGATTGAGCTCCCATCTCTAGTTCCAGCTCCTGCCAACCTAGCCGTTCGAAAGCAAGAAATTGCAAGTAGATAAATAGGGACCACTTCGGTGGGAAGGAAACAGCGTTCCGTGCGCCTCGGTGTTTAGTCATGCCGGCCACATGACCACGGAAACGTCTTCGGACAGCGCTGGCTCTTCGGCTTTGAAACAGAGATGAGCACCGCAACCCTAGAGTCGGATTCGATTGGCTTTCGAGCAAGGGAACCTTTACCTTTAATGTACTTCTCACAATACTAAAGATAAATCACCACAACCAACAATACTTATCAAACGTAAGATTTTCTAATAAATTTTAACATTGCAAAACACTTGTATGATTTTTCTACAAGGTTCTAATGTATTACTCACAATACAAAAGATAAATCACCACAATCCCACCATGTAAAGGAACAAAACCTAACAGAAAGTCTTTAACGTTCTATAATGCACGGTCCCGTTGAAGACTAATAATACGTCCGTGAAGCTGATATTAATTGCAGAAGATGCCGCCAAAAGGTGGCTTACAGCTTGTGTATGATCTTTAAATTTTAAATAACCTCTGTTCTGTTGAAGAAAATCGTGTTGGCTTTAGAAAGTAACCGCCACTCTGTTGAAGAGAATGTCTGAAGCCAGGTGTACCAATATAGTGGACTGGGGTGGACCTGTTCTCTGGAAGCCCATGTCTACCAAAAGAGTGGACTGGGGTGGATAGACCTGTTCCGCAGAGGCCACGTCTACCAATATAGTGGGTGAGTGGACCTGTTCTCCAGAGGCCAGGTCTATCAATATGGTGGACTGGAGTGGATAGTCCTGTTCTCCGGAGGCCACGTCTACCAATATAGTGGACTGGGGTGGGTAGACCTGTTCTCCGGAAGCCACGTCTACCAATATAGTGGACTTGGGTGGGTAGACCTTTTCTCCAGAGGCCACGTCTACCGATATAGTGGACTGGGGTGGGTAGACCTATTCTCCAGAGGCCACATCTACCGATATAGTGGACTAGGGTGGGTAGACCTGTTCTGCAGGGGCCTGGTCTATCCCCATAGAGGACAACATTTTATGTATGCAATTTGACTTGATTCTGTTTTCTCTTATAACGTTTATTCTTAAAATATAGTTTAAATATAGTTTAAAAGAATTCATTCTGAGATTTTTACAAGGTTATGGAAATAATCTAAAAACTAATTTATGTAATCGTCAAACGTAGACTCACTCACAACTTTAATGCTACTAGTTTTTGTCACCCATGAGGCAGACTTTTTGCTCACAACACTGTGGAGCTTAGAGGGGACATTGCCCTGAAGCGATCGCCCACCCTGCCCTGACTCAGATCTCTTTCTGCTCCCAGCAAAGCCAACGCCGCTGGACTTGAGAAACAACACCGTCATCGATGAGCTTCCTTTCAAATCGCCTGTCACAAAATCCTGGTCCAGGCCTGGGTAAGTGTGGTTTAAAAAGAGAAGAAAACAAGACAAAAAAGCACTAGTCCTCTGAATCCCAGAGCCAGGAGGCAACCTCAGGGGAAGGCCTCGGCCTCTATGCCCTGTGCTTGGACCTCCAGAGGAACTGGCTGGGCCCTGTGTGGGTACATTAAATGGACCACTGGTCTGATCCAGCAGGGCTCTTCTGAGGTCCTTATCAGGGGAAGGCCTCGGCCTCCATGCCCTGTTGTTGGCCCTCCCAGAGGAACTGGCTGGCCCTTGTGTGAGACAGGAGGCTGGACTAGATGGACCCTCACTGGTCTGATCCAGCAGGGCTCTTCTGATGTTCTTATGTTCACCTTTGCATCGGCTGCTTGCTTCCGCACTGACTTGTTGCTCTGCTTTGGTTTCCTTCTGATTGTCAGGAGTGTCCACATGATGCCTTCCTCTATTTGTCCCCTTTCCGTGTTTCCCCTCACTTTCCAGGCTGGTTCCAGGTTTTAAGGGCCCTTGGGCAGACAGTGCCCAGAGGCCTCTGTCTGCCCCCCTCCCCTCGCCGGTTTGGTGTAGTGGTTGGGAGCGCGGACTCTAATCTGGGAGAACCAGGTTTGATTCCCCACTCCTCCACACACAGCTGCTGGTGTGACCTCGGGTCAGTCATAAGTTCTCTCAGAGCTGTTCTCTCAGGAGCAGTCCTCGAAAGAGCTCTCTCAGCCCCGCCTGCCTCACAAGGTGTCTGTTGTGGGGAGGGGAAGGGAAAGGAGTTTGTGAGCCGCTCTGAGACTCCTTCGGGTAGTGAAGGGTGGGGTATAAATCCAATCTCTTCTTCTTCTTTTACCTCACAGGGTGTCTGTTGTGGGGAAGGGAAGGGAAAGGAGTTTGTGAGCCGCTCTGAGACTCCTTTGGGTAGTGAAGGGCGGGGTATAAATCCAATCTCTTCTTCTTCTTCTTTTACCTCACAGGGTGTCTGTTGTGGGGAGGGGAAGGGAAAGGAGTTTGTAAGCCACTCTGAGACTCCTTTGGGTAGTGAAGGGCGGGGTATGAATCCAATCTCTTCTTCTTCTTCTTTTACCTCACAGGGTGTCTGTTGTGGGGAGGGGAAGGGAAAGGAGATGGTAAGCGGCTCTGAGACTCCTTCGGGTAGTAAAGGGTGGTGGGATATGAAACCAACTCTTCTTCCTCTTCCTCTTCTTCTTTTGTCTTCTCATAATGGGACCAAAGTCCAAGAGCCTCAGTTGAGTCATTTTAGCTTCTAGGGGGAGTTCGGGCCTGATTTGATCTAGAAAAACCGTGTTTGGTACTCTCTTTGCTTGAGACCATCAAGTCTCAGATGTCAAATCATCTCCCTGCACCATCATCCGGGTCTCTCTTCTCCGGGACTGGGGAACGGGGACCTCACCCGCACCGGGCTGTGGGCCCCCCAAGCTCGGCCGGTTTGTCCTCCCCAAAAGGATGTGTGTCGTCCACAGCCCAGCAGGGAGGCGGAGGCTGCTCAGCCCGTGCTTCCGCCCAGCCCTGCCTCCGGCTTGGAGGCCCACCTTGGAAAAATCCCTCCTTCGCCCAAAAGCCATCTGCCGGCTCTCAGTAATCCCAGCACCATTCTCTCTCTCTCGACCTCTCCTTCCAGCCAAGCATTCAACTCCAACTTCTCGCCCTACTGCCGCCCCATCTCCTCCCAGAGCATCACCAGCACGGACTCAGGAGACAGCGAGGAGAACTACGTCGCCATGGTAGGGTCCCATCTGCACTCGTATTATGGTCCCTCTCCCAAGTCTCTTCATTTCATCGTGTTTGTTGCAGTCCATCAATGGCTCTTAGCCATAAGGTATAGATGGGACACTCCGTCTGGAGCAGTGACGCTCTGTCTTCTTGGTGCTTGCAGGGCCACAGTGGGAGGGCTTCGGGAGTTCCAGCCCTGCTGGTGGACCTCCTGATGGCACCTGGTATTTTTGGCCACTGTGTGACACAGAGTGTTGGCCTGGATGGGCCATTGGCCTGATCCAACATGACTTATCTTATGTTCTTATGTCTGGGGCAGTGATGTAATGCGGGGGGGGGGGCAAGAGTGGAAGGGCTTCTGGAGTTCTGGCCCTGCTGGTGGACCTCCTGATGGCACCTGAGCTTTGGGCACTGTGTGACACAAGAGTGTTGGGCTGGATGGGCCATTGGCCTGATCCAACATGACTTCTCTTATGTTCTTATGTCTGGGGCAATGATGCTCTGTCTTCTTGTGTGGGGGGGGGGCAAGAGTGGGAGGGCTTCTGGAGTTCTGGCCCCGCTGGTGGACCTCCTGATGGCCCCTGGGTTTTGGCCATTGTGTGACACTGTTGGCCTGGGTGGGCCATTGGCCTCATCCAACATGGCTTCTCTTATGTTCTTATATCTGGGGCAGTAATGCTCTGTCTTCTTGGTTTTTGGAGGGCCATAGTGGGAGGGCTTCTGAATTCTGGCCCTGTTGGTGGACCTCCTGATGGCACCTGGGTTTTGGCCACTGTGTGACACAAAGTGTTGGGCTGGATGGGCCATTGGCCTCATCCAACATTGGCTTCTCTTATGCTTTTATGACTAGGTCATCCCGATGGCGCTTCCGCACACACTTTTGATGCACTTTAGTGATGGTTTGCAACATCCAGTTGCAAAGCGGATTGGAAGTGCATACTTTGCCTTGAGCAGGTTCGACAGCCTCCCGATGGCACCTGGAGATCTCCCAGTATTGCAGTTGATCTCCAGATGACCAAGATCAATTCCCCTGGAGAAAACTGGCTGCTTTGGAGCATGGACTGCATAGGATTGTACACACACACACCCCATTTCTGCAGACCCCTCTCCTGGGCTCTCTGTCTCCCTGGGGCCTCCATCTTCCAGCATCAATGTCTCAGAGGTCTCAGAGGGAAAGGGGAGGGCAGGAAAGGACTGTGTCCCTACATGCGTGCCCTATAGGATCCCACTCAGTACTTTTTCACGCAGTGTACAAGTAACTGATGGCATTCAAGGCTGGTGGAACAGCTCAAGTTGAGTCCAGTAGGTTCTGGGGGGGTATGAGTTTTCGAGAGTCAAAGCTCCCTTCGTCAGACACTAATGATGGAAGAGGTGAGTCCTTATATCTCATTCGGAAGGTAGGAGGGACATTGCAGAGAAGGGAGTTGGGATACAAAGGAAGAATACAAAAAAAATTGTAATCAGCTTGTTTGGAGCAGGGGAGAAACGCTTCAGGGCAGGAAAACAGCATCTGTGGTGAGCAGTGTTCCCTCTAAGCTGAGTTAGTGTGAGCTAGCTCACAGGTTTTGAGCCCCCAGCTCACACATTTTTGTCTCAGCTCAGGAAAGAGGGCTCCAGAGCAAACTAATTTATGCAGTAGCCAAATCGCTCGCTCACAACTTTAATGCCGGTAACTCACAAAGTAGAATTTTTGCTCACAAGACTCCATAGCTTAGAGGGAACATTGGTGGTGAGATAAGAATCCTGTGTCCCTATTGAACCCCGAGGGGCATCCATTGTTCCAAGCCTGTGAATGAACTCAAGTTCCGCAATCCGAACACAGGATTCTTATCTCACTACAGACACTAATGTTAAGTCCCTAAAGCATTTCTCCCCTGCTCTAATCAAGCTGATAACACTTTGCACTGTTCCCTTTACATCCCGAGTCCCTTCTTTGGAATGCCCTTCCCACAATCTGACTGGTAAGTACAAAGTTGGAGTCCAGTGGCACTGTTAAGACCACCAGAGTTTAATTCTAGGTATAAGCTTTCACGTGCATGCACAATTAGAAGTTTGAGTCCAGTGGCACCTTTAAGACCAATACAGTTTAATTCTGAATATAAGCTTTCATGTGCATGCACACTTTTTCAGATACAGAGCCAGTTTGATGTAATGGTTAGGAGCGTGGACTCTAATCTGGGAGAACCGGGTTTGATTCCCCACTGTTGGTGCGACCGTAGGTCAGTCACAAACTCTCTCAGAGCCGTTCTCTCAAGAGCAGTCCTCGAAAGAGCTCTCTCAGCCCCACCTACCTCATAGGGTTTCTGTTGTGGGGAGGGGAAAGGAATTTCTTCTCTCTTCTTCTTCTGAAACAGACTTCCTCAAGCCTTACATACAGGTCCGTAGCTAATGCGGGGCCCATGGGGCCTGGCCCCCTAGCATTTCTTCTGGGGGCCCTCCCTCCCAGACTGGCCTCAAATTGAATTAATGTAATTAATTTTGATTTAATTAGCTGTGCTCCCCCCCTGAGTCCCCCTCCCCCAAAAATCACTAGCTACAGGGCAGCTTACATATAGCGGGGGGGGGGGTGTTAGTTGCCAGGAAAAGCTAGTTAGAGTCAAGATAAATAAGTAACTGAGCGATACGTATAGCTAAGGTTGGGTTAAAGCAGTCCAGTCTGTTTCTGAAATTCCTTTGCAATTGCAAGTTATTATAACACTCAGGACAATGGAACCCCCAGGGCTTAACAAAGATATTGGGTTCTTATCTCACTACACATGCTAAGTCACTCAGTACTTGCAATATACCCAGAATTAAACTTCGTTGGTCTTGAAGGTGCCACTGGACTCCAACTTTGTTCTGTTGCTTCAGACCAACATGGCTGCCCACCTGAATCTGTCCCCCAAATCTTATAGGTCTTTTAAGGTTGCGACTGGACTCAAATCCAGCTGTTGTACTGCAGAGCAATACGGCTGCCCTCTGAAAGGTTGGTGGTGGCATAGAGGGCTTTGTAAGAAGATGACACAAATTCGTGGAGGTGGAGTGTATGGCTAAGTGCAATAACTCCCAGGGCTATATGGAACCTCCATGTGCAGAGGCAGTATACCACTGCCTTCCCGATCATGGGGGAATGTGGTTTCCTTCATGCTATATTTGTGGCCTCCCCCAAAACATCTGGCTGCCTGATGTAGTTTGATCCTTTGTCCTTACTTTTAAGATGCATCTTTGAGCAAATGATTTGGATTTTCCCCCCTGTTCCTTTTGCTAATTCTGGCTCGACCTTTTCCCCTCTGTAGCAAAACCCAGTCTCTGCTTCCCCCATTCCCAGCGGCACCAACAGCCCCGCCACGAAGAAGAGCACAGGAAGCGTGGATTACCTGGCTCTGGACTTCCAGCCGAGCTCACCCGGTCCGCACAGAAAGGTACGGCTCTTCAGTAAAACCTTGGCTTTGTACTCAGACAGACTGAAGTAGATCTCCAGGGTGCCCCCCCCCCCCGCACTCAGTCCTCCAGTCCAAGCCACCTCCGGATTTCTCAGGAGCTGAACGGATTAAGGGCCAGGCCTGATGGTACAACTTCCACGGGTCCACCATAGGGACGTGGTGCCATTTCAGTGGTGGAACGTGCCATCGAATCATAGCCGACTGATGGGGCAAGTTTTCCTGCCGTTCTCTCTTTTCTGCCAGAGCTGGGTGATCATGCACGGGCAGTGTTCCTGGCCCACATCTGAACACCCATTACCCTGCCTTATACTGGATCAGACCCTTGGGCCATCAAAGTCTGTACTGTCCGCTCAGACTGGCAGCAGCTCTCCAGGGTCTAAGGCAGAGGTCTTTCCCATCCTTTCAGCTGG